TTATTTATTTATTTATTTATTTATTTATTTATTTATTTATTTATTTATTTAGCAGGGAGGAAGGTCAGAAAGCAGAGACAGGAAACTCTGTGGCCTCCAGATATTTTCAGATTTCCAAATAGCATCTGCTGTCATGAGACTGAAATATCGTTCTCTCTTTTCCTTTAAGAATATATCAGAGGCGACAGCCTGAACACAAGACAGATTGTACAGTATTTGCCTTCGGAATCATTTAGGATACACCAGTTATTTGAGATTGCAATTATACAAACATAATTTTCCCAGCCTATGCTGCAAATCAATTCCCCATCTCATTCAAATATAATGTTATATAAATTATCCATATAAAAAAATGAAGCAAAGCCAATTTTATCACTGTCTTTTAAACCAAAGAACCACAACAAAGTTAAATAACCAGGTTTTTTTCAAAATGGTTTTCAAAGGTACAAACATGATGGTTGATTAGAAATATAATAATAGCAATAGAAAACACAAGAGAAAGATGATCTGACTGGCTTTTATTTTTTTTTTATTTTATTGAAATGCAATTTATGAGAGTGCTATGAAGAGATGAACGTACTTGTTTGAATCGGGGGGTGGTCAGAAGGCTCTTTAGAGAAGCTAAGTTCTGAAGTCTGACAGCAAAATAAAGTTTTTGTAAATCTTGCACGCTTCGAAGCAACACAAACGGCATATTCCAGCTCAAACGTTTCTATTCGGGGTGTAAAACGACGCGAATTAGCTAAAAAAATGACATTCTCGGTACAGATGTGTGGCCATGTGACTTTTTGATTCCTGCTGATGACGACACAAGCTGGGCGGCTCCCGTCGATGTAGTTCACTTCCTGCTTCTCTGCCCTGGTTTCGCCTGATCAGCTGCTTCAGCCCTTACCTCCGACGAAAGACACAATGTCACATCAAACGGGCATTCAAGGTACCGGAGTTTTTCCTGCTTCCGTGGGCTCTGTGTTTCCCCCCTTTGCTGCTCCGCGGCCGGGTTCCCGCGTGAGCTTTAAGCGCTCGTGGCGGTTCATTGCAACTGGAAGCTAGCGTCAAGTTAGCTAGTGACATCTCTGCTTGCTAGCTGGTTAGCTTCGTGCTACTGTGATTGGAGTGACCAGCGGTGCTCCGTCTGGCCACCTGTAGAACTAATAGTGCTTTGCTAGATTAAGGGCCGCCAAAATACACCATTTGGTCTCGTTTTAAGCCGTTTATACATTCGGCTCGAGAGGCCATTGAATTGCCGGCGCTTTAGCATCAAATTCAAACCCGGTCCGTTGGTAAAACGCTTAAGTTTTTCCCCTCGAAAGGAGGGGAGACGCCTTCGTCTGTTACCTGTCAGCGTTTCCACACAGACGGGAATAGCTGTGCAGCTATGCACGGTGTCACTAAAATGATGGAAAGCTGGGTGTGACCTCCTGCTACACATGCCGGACCACCAAGGAGAATCGATCATAGGAATTTACGAATGAGTTCCGCGTCGTAACCTCTTACGTACTTTATTTTTTGGCCCAAAGACTTCAATTTAGAGTCACTTAAACCAGAATGAGCTTTAGTCCACTGTGACTGTTAAGGGAATGTGGCTGCTTATTTTTTATATGTAATGTTTATATATACGTGTGTGTGTGTGTGTGTGTGTGTGTGTGTGTGTGTGTGTGTGTGTGTGTGTGTGTGTGTGTGTGTAGTTTAAAGTACATTTGAAAACATCTTTCTGGGGCTGCCTGCACATCTGCATTTATTTTTTTTCTGATCGAGCCTCATAGATGAAACTTGCCACTCTGGTTTCTCCACATTTGGATTCACCAAACTGTACCGGCAGGCTTAACATCCATGACCCAAAACAAAGGGTGTGCTGTTGTGTTTTTGCCAAAGCTGAAGGCTGACCCTCCCCGTCTCCCCTTTTTCTCTCCTCAGCGGGGAATGATGTGAAGGATATCTTCGCCAGCGCCAGGGGAGGGGACCAGTATAGAGTCTTAAAGGTGGTCATTGAGGACGGTAAGCGCTGTCCCCGTACGTTCCCCCGGGGGAGAGCCTCACACTCTTGTGCGCCGCTGAGGGTTCTGTCGCTCACGTCTGCTTTGCAGAGCAGCTGAGTCTGGGCGGCAGCAGGAAGGCCTCCAAGAAGTGGGACCAGGAGTACGACTCCTTAGTGCTGCCCCTGCTCGAGGACGCCGTCCCCTGCTATATTCTGTACCGGCTGGACTCCACCAACAACCAGGGCTACGAGTGGATCCTCCTGGCCTGGTCACCGGACCACTCTACTGTAAGAGAAGCCGGCCCCCGCACTCCCTGTAATGAGTAGCTTTCCATTCTTTGTGGCGTTTGCCCTGCTCTGTTTTGGGTACGGGAGGGGTGGAGATTACCACATGAAAAGCAGCTCGTCCTTCGTATGCAGTCGTTACCTCCTGATGACGGCCTTTCCAAATAACATGGCACATAACTTCCAAAATTAAAAATAGGCTTTCAGGTTTGGCTGTGCCTTTATCGTTCAGAGGTGTGTGCTGTTTAATATTGCTTTGCTTCCCTTTAGCACCTCAGTGCTATTTTGTGTCACTGACAGTCAATGAAGCGCACGTCGAGCCGCTGTGATTCAGAACAGGGCCGACAATCAGATTGTGATGATTTCATTTTATCCAGCGAGGGGAGGAGGAATGTAGCGAGGAGGAGTGACGGGAGTGGCAGGAGGATACCCTCTAAGTGCACAGTGGAACGGAGCTAAAATCGACTTCTTGAGCCGAATAGCTGAGCTTAACATTCCTGTCCCCCCGCCTCAGAGCCCAGATCCTCAGGTTGAGGCTTGCCTGAAAGTTGCTTTAAACGTATTTCCTAAGCAGTGCGCGCTGGCTGCTGCCTCGGCTGGACCGGGCATGTGTTTTCGTTTTGAGCACCCGCGTTCAGTCAGCTGCATTTATTTAGCCTCAAACATGTGAGATTCTTTTCGGAGTAAATATAAACTTAATTCTTGCCAGTTGTGATTCTGAGGAGTATTTTGTACTGATGCCAGGCAGACGTTCCACCACGTTTGTGTGTCCTTAAACGCATCGTGTTCATCCGCCTGAAACCAGCACGCGTCAGCTTGTGTGCTTCAGTCCACTCTGATATTCTCGGAATGCATTAAAAAGAGCCGGAGGACCAGAGTTATTTCCTGCTAGCTGACCGCTGAGAGCAGCGCGGTCCATTGAGAGAACTTCGCCCCACTGCAGAGCACCCCGCGGGCTGCAGATTTACTCCCGGTGGCGGCTGGCACGGCGCCATTTTGCAGATGTTCCCAAACCACACAGAAGTGATTGCTCTCTCAAACGATTTCAAATGAGAGACGCTGTCCATCCAGACCCAAGTTTCAATAAGGCCAAAGACGCAAACGCTGATTCGGTGGTGCAGAAAGTGTGAGAGCAGCTCATTTGTCTGACCCGCTGACCTACCGGCTCACTGACCGCTTCGCCCAACAGGTGCGACACAAAATGCTCTACGCTGCTACCAGGGCCACGCTCAAGAAAGAGTTCGGAGGCGGCCACATCAAGGATGAGATATTTGCTACCACAAAGGTTAGCCTGAAAGTCACACTGTGTGGACTTATGTCTCTCGCCAACATATGGCGTCTGAATAACCGATGACTGTGCGCTTTTTTCTCGGGCTCCCAGGAAGACTTGAACCTCAGCGGTTACAGGAAGTATCTGACCTCTCAGGCCGCCCCTCTGCCCCTCACCGCCGCCGAGGAGGAGCTGAGGCAGATCAAACTCAACGAGGTAAGGCAAGACAGCAGTGGGGGGGGGGGGGGGGAGATCCCAGCTCCTCCAGCTGTGCTGTGACACAGAACAGCTGGAGGGGTCAGGCTCCCTCTCAGCTCTGAGCGGGGAATGTTTGCACCGCTCCAGGCTTTCAGCATCGGAGTAGAAACGGCTTAACTCGGCAGCCGGCTGTGCTCCTCCTTATCCCGTCAGATGTAAGGGGGGGTGGGGGGGGGGGTATCGATATGAAGGCAGCCCTTGAACAGCGCACGGTCAGCAGCAGGGCAAGCGTGCGCCTGCTGGCCCGGCAGCATCAGCAGAGGCCAAAGATGCTGATGCATCGGGCAGACAGAGAGGAATCTGTCGGGCTTGTTCGGCTCACACCTACAGGCGGCAAATCCCGCTCAGCCTGACACACAAAGTGGTTTAAGAGGAGCTCCCCATGAGCGTTCAGAGCAGACATTTCCATGCCCAGAGCTCCATGCAAATGGAGCCACTCCACAGCCGAGAGTGTGGCAGGGATTCCACCGCTCCGCTCTCCCGCCGCCGTGGAGATAAGAAGGAGCCAAAGGTTGTAACGTGATATCTGCTCCATGCTGCTAACGTGTTCAAAGGCGTGGACGCCGGTGCCGTGAGCCGCCACACCGAACACACACACACACACACGCATGGAAAGCAACTTTGGAAGGTTCTATCTTTGTTTTAAAAGATTGTAGGCTGCAATTCCCCGCGAGTTTGTCCAAACAGTCTTTTTTTTCTCCATTGAGCAACGCCCCTCTCTAATTTCCACTCACACGGCCTTCCACATAAACAAGAAGTGTCTTCCCTACCATATATGGGAGTGCTTTAAGTAGTGCTGTTCAAAGGGTGGCCCATTTAAAAGAGCAGCAGAGAAAGCAGGAAGTGGGGATTCTGCTGTGAGGGGACGATACTATGCTTTGAATCTGTGCTGTCAGGAGGGGGGAAAAAGAGGTTTTTGAGTATTTCCCATTTGGAGCCTTCCCTTTGCTAAGCAGATGGGGGGATAAAACCTGCACTCCTTAGTTGGTATGCAAGGTAGATACACCAGAGGTCATGTTTTCGCCGCATTTCGTTTGCGGGGAACAGGCTTCTAAAAATAGACTCAATCCATCAGAGTAATCCATCCAGGGCTTCCAGTCCTCACCGTGATTTCCTGGAGGTGCCTCGTCCCCTCCGATGCCATCTGTAATCGCCACGCTCCATCACTTGCAGTCGTTCCAGTTATTAGGACACTGAAACCATCAATGTAAACGTGTGGATCCAGTATGTTGGTTTTAACAATTTGGCAGAGGTTGTTTTATTTCCCATCTGAAGAGCTCCGTTGCAGCTTTCTCACATGCAGCTAAAGCACGGGTCGATGTGTTCAGGTGCAGACGGACATCAGCGTGGACACCAAGCAGCAGACCCTGCAGGGAGTGGCTTTCCCCATCCACAAAGAGGCCGCCGAGGCGCTCACACGCTTTAGAGAGAAAAAGATCAACTACGTGCAGCTGGTGAGTTCTTAAGGACAAAGCCTCGGTGCAAAGGTGAGGCTGCAGGTTGCGCTTTTGTGCCGTTTGGAAAGAGAGAGCTGCTCTGGGTCAGTCGCCTGTCGACACAGTGACTCACTCGGGTTGCCCAAAAAAGCCTTTGTTTCAGACTTTGCTCATTTAAATTCAGGGCTTGTCACAAGATCAGATCAGTGGAAAAGTACAAAGGAATAATGGAGGCCTTGTCCCGATTATTTTCCATGAAAGAAGTTTGATTTGTTCTCATTCTTTGAATGTTATTTTCCTTTTTTTCTTTAAGCATAAAACACAGGCCCAGTCTCAGATTCCAGCCTTAGTCCTATTCTTTGGTCTTATCTCTGTCTTTAGTAGGGATAAGGTTTCCCTTTTTTCATTAGATGTAGGATTAGTGGTCACCCAGCCCTTCCTTTAGGGCAGTGGAGTAGTTGACCCTTTGGTTTCTAAAATAGGAAAAATTACCGACTCTGAGTTGAAAAACAGGTGAAGGTCCAGATAAAATGTGTCAGTCCCTCTGAAAGGAAGCAGATTGCCTCCACATCTGCAAATATGAGGACCAACTTGTGCTACTTTTGTCAACAGAACATAGACGCTGGAAAAGAGATCATCCTCTTGTGCAGCACTGAGCCGACCGAGGTGAAGGACCTACCGAGGAGGATCCCTAAAGACTCTCCACGCTACCACTTCTTCCTCTACAAACATTCCCACGAAGGCGACTACCTGGAGTCCACAGGTGTGTGGATCGGATCGGCCCGCCCGTGTTCACTCCGTCCAGGCTTGTGATGTTCCTAACCTCGCTTCTCCTTTGCTTTTTTCTCTCCAGTCTTCATTTATTCTATGCCGGGCTACAAGTGTAGCATCCGCGAGAGGATGCTGTACTCCAGCTGCAAAAACAACCTGGTGGATATGGTGGAAGACAAACTCCAGATTGAAATAGAAAAAAAGGTTAAAATATTTGTGTAGACAAATTCTTCATATATATATACACACACACACATATATGTATATATATGACACCAATATATATGCTTTTTTTCTTTTTTTGCCTGATATCATAGCCTATCTGGAAAAAGCCGTTTTTTAAAGGCTTAGTTATAAGGTTTTATACCTCAGGGTATGATTTAAGGATTAATTTTTCTGCTAATGGAAACTCCAGCTGATGGACAGGGTAATATTACACGCTTTGTTGCTCTTCTGGGTTTTTTTTCCCCCCCTACCTAAATGCAAGACCTGGCAAAGACGGGATAGACACCCGTCTTTACAATCTGAAATGTAAAGTTCTAGATGTAAAGAGTATGTTCTGTATTTGTGACCTTAAAAAATGAGGCATTTGTGTCCTGTTGGACAACATAGATATTCCAGCATGGTAACACTTTCACATTAATATTCCTGTGAAAGCTATCTCATACATGTTTTAAAATGTGATAACATGCGTTGGCCGAGACAGAACACCTGAAAATACAGTTACTCTCATTATGACTATCCTGAGTTTCAGCATTTTCAGTTTGACACTTCCTTTTATTTATGTGTATCTGTCTATGTTTTTGTTTTTTCTTAGCTGGAAATTGAAAACGGGGAAGAATTAACAAGTGATTTCCTGTATGAAGAGGTGCATCCCAAGCAGCACGCGCACAAGCAGGCCTTCGCTAAGCCCAAAGGCCCCGCAGGTAAGAGGGGGGGCCGCCGCATCACCCGGCCCCCCGCCGAGGGAGAGGAGGAGGATTAAACGGACCTCAGCCCCCGACTCGTCGCCTCCACCCCGAGCACGTTCCACAATGGAACATTCCTGCGATTGGGAGGGGGGGGGTGGGTTGAAATGAATATTTGACTCCCTTTGTACAAAAAGAATAAGACGATAACCTCAAATTCCCACAATTTCCCCCCAGAGAGCCAACTATGCACGCCAAGGACAACTGAGCATTGACACACTTTAGATTTCCATTTGTAGCTTGCCAAATGGAAGTATATTTATGTATGTTAGTACATTCACAAAAAAGAAAAAACTTGATTCAAAGGGGCCCAAAGTCAAAAGTTGAGGTTTTTACATTGTTGCCAGTTTGACACTTCACCAAAAAGCTAAACAAAAAAAAATCTAAACAAAAAAAAAACCTTCCTGGGATGAATGTGAAGTTGCGCCAACATGATAAAATTCCAATTTTGAGTTCAAAAGCTTAAACCCTTAACTTGCATTCCTTATGTCTGTTTCCATTAACGTTTTTTCGTGTCTAATGTGTAGAACGTCTCTACTGTTTGCACAATGAGGTGCTCCAAAGAAGAACAGGTTTAGAACGATCCCATTTGTGTCTCTCCATTCATTTTAACCGTGCATTTTATATTTGAAAAAAAAATTGACTTCTTTTTTGATATAACTGTGGTTTACATGAAACAAAATCATCTGCTGAGAAACTTATTTTTCTATGCAAGTGCTGTAAATGTACATATTGTAGCTGTGTGATGCTCTATGATTAAGAAACAGTTTGGTCTGTTCTGGTGATTGTAAATGTCAGTGAGGACTACCGTGGATAGAACTGGGGCTTCCAGAAATATTCCATCAATACATCTCAGATTTCACAAAGAGGAAGCCACTCAGACTTGGCCGGTTCCCACCAAGAAGGGAATGCCATGATACCGGAGCGGAAAGGGAATACTACTAAGTACCTTGATTTAAAAATGTTGCCACATCCACTGGTCTACTCGTTCATTTTAGGCAAACTACTAAGCTCACCTCGTGTGTGAAAGGGGAAACCCCTTTAGTCATACAACGCCATTATAATAGAAACATGTTTGGTCTTCTTTGTTTTCTTACAAATCTTTCTTTTAAAGAAGAAGAATAAAATATTTAAATCACATTTGTGTTTTATTACGTTCCTTCCCAATAAATACAATAAACACTTCCAGACATTGCAGCATTGTACAGAGTTTGGGTGATAAAAAACAAAATACTGAAAAAAAAGGTGTGAAAAGGTTGAAGCTGCAAACCTTTCGAAAAGAATTCAGATACGGACGCTTGAATCTCAGTCAATGAGTTAATTATTTACTCAAAAGTGGCCGGAAGGAGGTGAATTTGTTCAGTCACTGCAGGCTGAGTAACGGGGAGCTTCTCTTTCATCCTCTAGCATCCACTGAAATGCTTTTGACCACACTGTGGATCTCTGAGAGGACCTGTTCGGACAGAAAGCTCAGTGTTAATGCAAAGAAGAATCTGCTGTGATTTCAATGTTTTGCATAGAACGGAATATGACGAGCCTACGTCTTACACAAACTCACTCTTTCCCCTCATTTACTTTCTTCCCCACTTTTTCCAAGTGATCCCAGCTGGTCACTTGGGACTCACGCTGGGTCACAGGTGTGAACCCTCGTCTTAATCGGATCAAACAGGTGGACGTGTGATAATGCTAAAAGTGGCCGAGACCCATCGTGTCCACACCTTTTCTTAAAGGGCCGGCATTTTAAAACACAGCCCGCTAAACCAGACAAACGATCAGACTGACTTCAACCAATCGGAGCAGACTGGATCTTTTAAAGAGACGAGAGCTCAAACAAACCAGCTGCAAAAAACGCGCAGCACCACTAAAATAGTGTTCTGGGGACATTAAAGCAGCTCACGGCGTCACACGGAAAGCAGAAGTGGATCCCCACCTGTCCGATGACCGGCCGTCGGTTTTTTCTGTTGTGGAGGCAGTTGGAGGCCAGGCAGTAGATGCTCTCCACCTGGCTCATCTCCCAGTCGCTCATCTTCTTATCCACAAAGTCCTCCAGAGTCAGGTCCTCGTCCTCATCATCGATGTCATACCTCTGTTCAATCTAAGACAGAGAGACAGGAAGGGGCGTGGCCCAGGTCAGCGGTTAGGCCCAAGCCAGTGAGCCCATAACGTGTCCTGAACTGTGGCTGATCAGCTCACCAAAAACCCCTGGTTTTCATCAGCTGGCGGGAGTCCTGACAATATTTCTAGCAGCACCTGTAGACAGCAGAGGGATGAGGTTAATTACATCTCTCCCCGGGCAGCGGGAAAGCTTTCTAACTGCCGACAACACACTCTGAATGAGCCGCGCACGGTGAATCCCGCTGAGCTCCACAGCTCCCTCCATCATTCCCCCTATAGGATAGCGCCTCTGATGTTTCACAGCTACTAATAGGGCCAGGGCTCTAAACCGACTCAAACTGATGCACAGGAAGGTGTGTGAGTGAATGCACGCGTCAGGAGTTTTGGAATAAAACCAAACCCGCGGGGAATCTGCTGAGCTGCGGTCAGTTTTTTCGCTGTCCCTTAGAAAAAAAAAAAAGCCTACCACTCCGAAGCTGAACACGTCGGATTTGGGGGTGACCTGTCCCAGCAATGCTTCGGGCGCCATGTACGCCCGGGTGCCCACGATCCTCTCGGTCATCATGGTGGCCGAGGTGTTCTCGGCCGACGCCCTGGTCAGCCCGAAGTCAGACACCTTCGCCACAAACCCGCCGTCCAACAGGATGTTGGCGCTAAAGGAGGAGAGCAGGAGTGACCGTCAGCACACACAGAAATCACCAAGCCTGCCGTTTATCGTCCAGCTCATATCAGAAGAGGATTTCTTTTCAGGAGTTAGATTTAACCCTTTCATGCATAGAGGGCACTAGAGTGGACAGCTAGTTAAAAGCCATTTTCTTGTGTGTATATGGGTTTTTATATTTGAACTGAACACTGGAGCATGACGCATTAAACATTTTTTAAAATGTCCACAATAGTTTACTGTTAGAGCTGAGAAATTAATCAAGTGGTTGAATGAGCTGGAGTGAGAAAAGCGATGAGATAGTACTGAATATTTGGATAGGAGGAGACTTACATGCCAAGTTATGTGTTCACACATTGTGTTAACAAATGTAAAAATATGTTAACACTGTAACATACAGTATTTTATTAGTAAGACATTTTAAAACATGTACCGTTTGTGGACATCTGGAGAAATCCATGAATGAACACAGTTTACCCCCCAAAAATAATACTTTTTTATAATGTTTTAAAAAACACTGAAAAAAAATCCTGACTGAAATTATAATAATTCATGCATGAAAGGGTTAAGGGATAAACATTAAAACAAGAGTCCGAAAACCTCTCGGTCCGATCTCAGTCCGACTACCTTTTGACGTCTCTGTGGACGTGGTGGTTGCCGTGCAGATACTCCAAACCTCTGGCGGTTCCTTCCGCTATCGAGCATCTCTGCTCCCAACTGAGAGGGGGGGTTCTGTCCTTCAGGGAGGAAAAACACAGAATTAAATCCTCCAGGTTAGAGTTCGGGTTCTGGCAGGAGGGAACTGTCGGAGCGGAACCTACAAGGCAGGCGAGGCGATCCAGCAGAGATCCATTTGCCATGAAGTCGTACACGATACAAAGGTGCTGCTCCTCACAGGAAAACCCGATCATGTCCACCAGGTTCTCGTGCTTTAACCTGCCAAACACACGGTTTAAGGAAGTAACCGCTGGGAGTCACCTGGCTGCTGGTGAACAGACCCGTCCAACTTACACTTTCAGTGTTTGGATCTCCTGGTTAAACTGCACTTGCAGCTTGTCCAGAGGCATGTCGGCCATCTGAGAGCCACGATATCGCGGATTAAGACTCAAAATCAAAACTGTCAAAACGATCCGTGCTTTGGATGAAAAAAACGTTTCCGCTTACCGGGTTGAGCTTTTTCACCGCGACAGGTTTGTTGTTCAGGAATCCTTTATAGACTATTCCGAAGCCTCCCTCTCCGATACGGCTGCCGCCGTCCGAGGTGGGACGGTTGTCAAAGTTCCAGCTGTACTGGAAACTGGAGAAGCTGCCTGATCAGGAACACAGAAACGCTGTTTGCATGTTTGCAGACGATTGCAACCACTTGTCTCTGGCTTTTTGGCTAACTTATCCTATCGACGGGGAAATCAAACGCATCCACCTGTGTGTCCTGCTTCAGTGTTCTCCTCCAAAGGTTGCGTCTGCTGGGAGGAGCTGGCAGCTGGAGGCTCCGTCTCCTCCTGCCCTATCAGTCTGGTCGGAGGCGCTGGGCCTGCTGCTGCATAACAGGCCTGCCGAGCCTCTGCTGACAATGGTTGTTCTATTGGGAGGGGAAGACAGTAAATGTGATCCACTGGTCCAACATCATCCCTTATATTATATTATATTATATTATATTATCTACCTAAGCAGGGAGTCTATGGGGAGGTTTATCTTAGTCCAAACTGAACCAAAGTATAGTCACTATATAAGGTTGACAGAAATATGAAGTATTGCATGCAAAAGAAAAAAGAAGATTGGCTTAAGATTTGCAGATGACGATGAAATGCTGAAAATGTGTGCCACATAACACTGGCTGAATATTTACAGCCCTATTATACAGTTTGTCATCATTATGTCTATGGTAGTCCAAAATCATACCAGGCAGCAGGATATCAGCCGCAGCCATTAAACTGTGACTCCTTAAAATGTCCACCAGTTCCCCCACTGTGCTGTTGGTGGTCCCCCAGTCGTTTAACAGCTCCACTGTGGGACTCTTGCCCTGAGCAAGGAGACATTCAAATCTCCTAAGAGGACACAATCACACGGGATTTTAATGATGCGTTACAGTGTTGCTCTGTAAAGTTATGCAGACATCAGGTTGTCAATCACCGCCTTACTTGACATGTTGGTGAGAGTACCTCGGCCCCCCGGTCGGCTTCCGTATGGACACGACTACATGTTTCCACATGTCTTGATGGTCCAAAAAGTCGGACAACCTGCGGCGTAAACCATAACTAATGTTGCGAATGTAAGTACCGGAAGTCACTGAACTGTCCATGATGTTACAAATGTTTCACGATTCCTGACTTAGTGTTTTATCCGAACGCCATGTCAACACGGGTACGTGTACGACTGTAAATTGGCCTCAAGTATGGGCACCCATAGAAAAAAAAACAGCAACACAAATATAAACGAAACAGAACAAACGGTGAAGTGAATGGTTGCTCAAGTAAGATGTGTTTTTCCGATATTGAGCAACTTCCTGAGGAACTGAGCGGAACCGCCCCGCTTCCAGTCTCCACCTCTAAGGCGAAAACATCAGGTATTCGTGAATAACAGGTACGGTTTTAACGTATTTTTGCTTGAATATTAGTATGAAAGCAAACACGCCAAGTTTCTGATAATACAAAAGCAAAAACAGGAAGCAGGCGCGATGTTTCCTCTGAGGGATAAACAGCGAAACAGCGCCCTCTAGCGGCTGCTGTTGGGACGTGAACTTGTTTCTGTCCATTCAGAGAAAAGTCATGCAAAGCACCTTTTGCTATTTCTCGTACAAAGATGAATATATTTATCTTATATAACTTAAATACGCCTTTATATAGTGTTTTAAATAAATAATAGTACACCACAGCCCACATTTAGATTTTTTATCAAAACTCCTGCCTTGATAGTCATTTGATATTCATGGTAACACTAGATTCAATGCAACACTGACAACAATAATGGCAATAATGGCAAATATTAGTCCCCCCCAAAAAGGCCAACATTCATTAAGGACACATGCAAAATACAACAGACTATTGAATTGTTCCTGTTCGTGATTAATACAACATTTGATCTGTCTCATGAAGATTTCCAAAACGTGTGTAACTGTGTCTATGCTCACGGCTCCGACTGAAGTCAGGAAGAAATGCGTGTTGGCACACCTGCGTGACAAATAGAGCGGATTTGGATACGTGGATTGAAGCTAGATTGGCTTCAAAAAGCACTGTTCTCAGAAATGAACTGCTAATGAGAAACAAGTGTCACAGGCAAAACAACAGCAACTTTATCTTTATACTTTCTGAAGCTATGAGGCGGTTTTAAGCCAGCCAAAAGCAACAGTACAGGTCTTTATTACAAGTAGGGTAAGGGTAACTTCTCTTTTGAAGATAAAGGCCTCACCAAAGGCCAACTTCATTGAAACATATTTGTGGCAAAATAGACTAGTAATTTAACTAATTTAACCTAAAGCTTTGGCTGTGCTAGCAATATTTGCTCAGGGTTTTCTTGAAGCTTTTTTACATTATGTACTGGAGAGTGTGTCCCCAGATGAGTGGAATGTGTTCTTTGGTTTGTATATAGAAAACTTTTAATTGAACCTATATAGACACTCTTCAAACTATATAAGTAATCTGTGAACTTTGGGAAAGTTGCACAAGGAGAAAAGCTGAATCTTAAGGCTGAATACCAATAAAACCACTGTAAACTTTTTTTCCATCACAGCATGTGGGGCCCACAGCACATAGAAAAAGAAGGACAGTAAATGGTGCCACATCATTTATCACATCGTAACTTTTCACATCTGAACATCGTGTGTGTCTTGACCTAAGATGTATCAATCTGATGCAGCAAGACTGTGTTTTTTTATTAGGCTGATGAAATCAGAACATGGTTCAAATTCGAAGCAATGCTTTTTAGCAACTCCTTCAGGAATAGACAGTTTTATGGCAGTGTTGTTTTATTTTTCCTTCGTATCGTCAACCACATGAGTGCATGAACAAAGTTCTGTGGAAAGCAGGCTTCACCACATGCGTAAACAAACTGCAATTAGCTTATTTTGTGTGGAAATGCATAATGAGAGTCATTACTGCATCTGTGGTGGCCAAAAGTGTGTAATCTCTTTATCCCTGATGTTTGATACCAACAATGGCCTTGAGAGTTTTTAATGGGGGCTCATCTGGGATCCAATTACAAGCTGTGTGCGGGTGTGTGTGCCACGCCGTGTTATGTCCAACATTTACTACCTGCGACGGCACGAAAAGTCTTTGATGTGCAAAACCGCCCCCTCTCTCTTCACACTCCAGCGTCCGGATCTCAGCAGCACCCGCTTCTCATCCAGAGACACGAGCATGGTGCTGGGACTTTGGAACGAGCCCCGGGAGACAGAGTGAGAGCAGCTGGGGCTCTCCTCCGCTGTGTGCTGTGTGTGTTTTGTGTGTTTTGTGCTCGTGTTTGCAGGTGGTGACAGGTGTGGACTGCGGGCCGTCTGCAGGACTCTCACCACAGAGCCACGCAGCTCAGATTTGCAATGTCCCGCCAGACTATCTGTGGAAAAAAGGCAGGTCTGGATTGATGCTTATCAATCTTTACAGGTCAGACTTGTTTCTTATATTACAGATCTCTCCTCAAATTCCCTGAATCCGTTATTGATGTAACAATGTATAGTGAAGATGACAAAATCCCCAAATACTTCAGTATTAAGAGTGATAAACTCATCCCAACTCTCACCTCTCATCTTTACCTTTAAAAGACATACTATTTAATACCACATCCCGTGTAGATGCTGACTATTCCTATGGGTGGTTTTTGTAGTGTTGTATGGCCTTTTCAGTCAGTCTGCTGCCCCATCATATTAACAATGAGTGTGTATATTGGAAAGAAAAAAATAATTTATTTTCATTTCAAAAACAGAAATCATAAACTCCATCGATTTGCAAGTCATGTGTTATTCTTTAGTTTCAGGATTGTTTTTCAACTAAGAAGATGTGAGGAGACGGAGAAGAAAAGGAGAAGAAACCTGCAGTTTGGGACCAAGAGCAGATACAGGTAAAGTGGCAGCGTGGCTTAAATCAGGGTAAAAAAAAACACTGCGGGGTGAGGAGGTGATCAGTGGAGGTCACATGATGTCCAGACAAAGAAAAAACAAAAACGCTCAAATTATTCCTTTCATAGTTTGTTGTTATCATCCTGAAGATACCCGACACTGTCATGACTCTACTAAGGACTTTTTTTGCTGTAATCCCACTGTCAACATGAATATGTATATAATCCTGACAATATTTCAGGCTTAGGCTGAGTTTTTATGGATCTACCATCTTAAGAACCTTAGTGGTCACCTTAAATCGGACCGAGCATCCCTAGGATGGTCCTGCTCTGCTCTGAGGAGTTATTGGGAGAAAGGGAAACGTGGCATATTTCTGTCCATGGATCGGCCGCTGCTTTGATGAATTAGCAGTCCTGTCGTGGAGTCTAACAGTTCAGGCGGCTCATGGTGTGTGTCTCCCATGTTTGAATTCAAATGAGCTAAATGAATGAGAGGACCCACTTAGGCACACAGAGGAGCAATGGGAGGTATGGGCACCGCATTGATGTCCAACAGAAGACCTTCAATGTACGTCTGTTTGTGCGCTGCTTGTGCATGCAAGGCCTTTAGCAGCGGGCCACTAATGCCCGCTGACAGCTCACCGCGGGGAGTCCCCTCTCACACTGATTCTAGATTTTTTTTTCTTCTAAAGAGCAAGTCCAGAAAATAAACTGAGTTTAGTTATTCCGTATAACAGTATGCATTTTGCTGCTATGATGATAAGTATAGCTGCTGTGTCATTTCGAGCCCCAGCAGGTAGGACGCTGCAATTGCCTGTTTGACAAATAGATGGCAGTAGGCAACTTCTCATGAGGGACATAATGGAACCGTATGGAAAAACTAAATGTGGATCAAACAACAAATGGCTCCGAATAGGAAAGTGTGCCAAAAGAAAAAGTCAGTGTTCCACAGGGTTAGACTGAATTAGGTCACGGCCGTTTGCAATGATCTAGTCAACCAGAAACCCAGGACACTTTGCGTTTCAAAGTCTTTTTCATATGGGAACCACTTGACTAAAAACTCAGAAGACATTCCCCTCCCAGGAATGATCTGGTGGCATCTGGAGGGCCTGAGCCCCAGCGGTCAGCGACCGCTGCCTGATTGCACAGGAGGTTGTCCTGTTTTCTCCAAAATCCTTGGCCTCGTTCCCAAAAACGATCTGTCCAGCAGAGCACATCAGCACGGGGACAAAAAGCACAGCCCCTCCTGGCATCTCCAGTCCTTCAGGGCTCGTTAGTCCAGTGGATTGTGGGATAGATGGCAAAACGCCACCAGGCCTGCGCATACACACACACACACACATACACACACACTCACACACACCTGACAGGGTCACAGAGAAACACACCTTTGGGTTTTTAGTACACATCATCAATTTAATGTGAAGAAGAGCCGCAAAGTGAAGGAATCAGGTTATTTATAATGTCAGTATATTGTGTTTATGCCAAAGATAATGAAGGTTACCCTTTCTCCATTGTTTGGCCGGAGCCCCCTGCTTTTGATCCCCGCTGTGCCACCGAGGTGGCTCCGGCCAAAAATCTGGCTCATCGCTCTGAGCTGCTGCATTGATCCCAAGGAAATAAGCCAGAAAGCTAAACGTTGGGATTTCAGGATAAAATGTGTGCATGGGGACAGTGTGGCCAGATTTTAAAACTAAGGCGTGACGAGCAGATTTTTGCCTCTGCCGGACGACCCAAAAACCTGTTTGGGAAGAGTGTTGTTCTGCAGCCTGAGAGAATGTTTGTACATCAGTAAATCTGCAACTCAGATGTTACAACTCAGATTAATTTGTTATGTGAGTAAATTCCATCTTATCATGGAGAAGACTGTCGTATTTTGGGAAACAGAACTGAAGAACATGCATTCTGTTGCTCTATAACTCAACTTTTTCTGGCACAACATGTCACAACAATGTTAAGAATCGGAGTGAAGTGCCACGAGGTGCTGGATAGCTTTCAAAAAGATGTTTCTGTGAATGGATATGATTATCTTTTAACAAAACATATTCCGCTTTTCAAAGTACACATAGCTGCAGAACCTTAGATAACCACTGGGTGTCGCAGTGGAGTAGAGAAATGGCCGTCCATAAAACAAAAAAGTTGGATTTACCATCTCTTCACTACAATGATGGCATGTAAACTGCATGTAACCTATTCTAATTAGGTTTATTGACTAAGCTTCTACATGAGCACTGGATAAAGTCTATTTTTCTAAGCTGTCAAATTATTGGCAGCGCACCATTTTCTGAATTTACAAACTGTCCGTTAAAAAGATATTCTCACAAGCATTGCATGTTCTCTTAACACACATTCACGACATTACTGTGAACACTTATTTCTTGAGAGCTGGCCAAATAAAATCCTGTCAAATTCTAGTTCCTGAGTTCCTCAAGACGGAGCTCTTATGTACACGCCACAAGGTTTTCTGGGGACACTTAGATAACAAACTAAATTCAAAGTCTTGTCGTCTCTGCATACTAGGTCACCCTAAAACCATCTCTTTAGTTTTTTCCGCGTTCAGGATGAGGTGATTGTTTTCCAAGCATGCTGCAAAGTGGCTGAGCATTTCCCAGTATGCAGCATCTTATCCGTCTCTGACCCGCCTAGTAACTGCAGAGCTATCTGAATTCTGGATTCCCAGGGATT